TTTTTTATTTATAAAAAATTCCAACATTTCATTTAAATTTGAAATTTTGTAGGTTTAAATAATATCAAGAAACTAAAAATCTTTATAATTCTAGAATCAATCTACTTTCATAAAAATCAAATTAAAAAAACTTACTTGACGAAATCATGACTTGATGATTAATTTTAACTTTAACAAAATGTTCAAGTAGTATTGAACCAGTTATCAATTCAAAAGTTAAAGTTCTTTCTGTTGTTTAATGCAAATATTTATTATTTATATAATTTATTTTCAATATTATTTATATATAAATTATTTATATAAAAAATTATACAAATAAAATTTAAATTTAGATTCTCAAAAATGAAAAAAATATAATTATGAACAAAATTTAATTAACTTATATTTGATTTTAAATGTTTTTTATTACTATCAGTTTTCTCTAGATGGCGCTTACTTATTTAGGTTATTTTATTATGATGACTCAATTTGTGTGTAAAACAGTGTTTAAATATTTTCAATTTAATTTTTTCTGAATTTTCAGAAATATACTGTGTAAAATTAAAAAATTAATAAAATCATAAAAATAGACACGTTTATTGACTAAAAAATCTTATGTTTATAAACAGATAAAATCATATAGTACTGTATCGTTGAATAAAGTGGAATATTCCCTTTGCCCGTGTTGTTCCAAGTGCCAACTTTTCAATTCTATATTATGTTAATACTAACATGGATGCGTTAGTGCAAAAAATAATTTCAGACTCGGGCGACGAATTTTCAAAAAATATTATTGCCTTTCAGGAAAATGTAAGTTTAAATGCTTTAAAGATTTTTATAAAAAATTCATAATATAAATTAATTTTATATGCTATTTTAGTATGGAAACCGAACAGTATTTGAAGAACTCAATAACGATCAATTACGTGAAAAATTATGGGAAACATTGTTTCGTTGTTTATTAGACAATTCACAATCATCTCTTCATTATAATTGTTTATCCACTTTGCGGATACTTAGGTAACATTATAATGTGATTATGTATATTTATATGAGCTATCATTGTGTAATTTTATATTTTGACTTATACATATTGAGTTTATAAAAAAAAACTTTATTGAATAAATACATTTTTATTTTTAGCAAAGCATTAAAACTTTTCTGACACCACTTTGTGTTATTGCTTTAAATGTAGACCTAGCTTTTGCTATTATTATTAAGTAATTCTATTGTTTTTCTCCATTAACGTAGCAGAGACAAAACAAAGTTAAACGAATTAATCACAGACGAAAGATTAGGTATTATATTAGATAATGCAGCTCTAAGGGACATAAATATAAATCTACGCACCTATAGCAATGGTAAGAATAATGTAGTTATCCATTATAAGTAAAATATTATAATAAATATGACTTCTAACTTCTAACTTATAAATAAATATAATTTCTTTAATTCTTATTTATTTTGTAGTTAATATTGAAGCTCTTAAATTACTATGTAATTTAATATTCAATAGTATAAAGATTCAAGAATTATTACCAAAAACACATTGTTTACCATGTCTAATTGACCGTATAAGAAAATACAATGAAAAAATTCCATATGAAATAATGTTATTTGATACAAGAATTATATTTCTAATTACTGCTTTAAACATTTCCACTAGACAAATTGTTAAAACAGAATTGAATGGAGATGAATGTTTCATAAAAATGTTGAAGAATATATGCATCCAATGTGAACAAGATAAATTATATTTTATTAAGGAAGATAATGCTATATTAGTGTGTGAAATTTTAAAAGCATTATTTAATTTATATATAAATTCAGACAATACAACAGAAGAAAAAAGTAAAAATTTAGTTTCAATTTTGAATAAATTATTATTATTCAAATCTAAGAAAGACAATGATCTTCAAAGGTATTTATTATCTCTTAAAATATCAAATATATACATTATCTTATTATTATTTTATATTAATTTCTATTTCAGCAACATTGCAAATTTATTAACTGTGATGCCATATAATTGTTATTCAGAAATAATATCTCCTACCAAAGTGAAACACAAGCAAGTGTTCCAAAATATGGATATGAGTGCAGTATTTGTTTTATTAAAATTTTTAGATAGAAGACTAAATTTTAAGGATGACTTAATAGGAAATCTGAGTCCAATTGTTACTGCTTTTATCAGAATGGTTAAAGCAGAGAGATTAATTCGAAAATATACCAGGCTACAGGTTAAAATTCTTTTTATTTAAAAATATTTGAGAATTGTTTTAAAAATATTTAATTTGTTTGAAAAATATTTAAAATTATTGCACAAAATACTTTTTTGTTTTTTTAGATTTTACCTCCTTTAAAAGATGTAATGCATCGCCCAGAAGAAGGAACTACTTTGAGGGCGAAGTTGTGTAAATTATTAACTTCTCCTTTGACAGAGTTACGAGATCTCGTTGCCGAGTTTTTGTTCATACTCTGTAAAGAAAATGGTGACTGCAGATATTTAATAAAATATAAAAAATTTTTAAAAAATTTATTTTTAAAATAAAATTATTTATTTGTAAATTATTATTGTTTTTGTAGTTACTCGTATGGTAAAATATACGGGATATGGAAATGCTGCTGGAATGTTCGCAAACAAAGGATTGTTGGGACCGAATAAAAAAATTCGACCTGCTTATTCTTCTGAATCAGAAGATAGTGAAACTGAAGAATACTTGAAGCATAAGGAACAGTAAGTATTTCTCTTTAATTAAATTTAAAATTCTAATAATTAATTTTCTTAATAATTATATTAATATTTATTATTATTTTATTAATAATTATAATTATGTTATAATTTTAATAAAATCTGTGTTTATTAAAGAATTAATCCAGTAACTGGCTGTTTTGAACATCCAAAACCTAATCCTTTAGAAGGAATGAGTGAGGAACAAAAAGAATACGAAGCCTTACAACTCATTGGCCTTGTTGATAAGTTAACAAGGTTCATATAATTATTTATTTATAGATATGATATATTTAATTTATATTTCATGCAAATTTAAAATCAATTTTATTATATTAGGGAAGGTGTGGTACAGCCTTGTAGAATTGGAGATGATGGAAAACCAAAACCAATTGAACATGTCCTGGAATTGCAAGAGGAACTACCAAAGCAACAATATAATCATCGAGACTCTGATTCTGATTGAATGCTGAAATATTTGTATATAAAATTGTATGTAAGCACAAATACAAAATAAAAGTACTTATGTGAAATGTATTTTACTTTCATATCTGGTATTCATTATCATCCAATTTTCACATAATCCAAAAAATCCAGTCGATGAAAGCTAAAATTACTAGAAAAAATTTCAAATTGATAAAAAATGTAATGATTACAAAAAAATTCAAAACGCCAATAAAGTTGATTTGCTTACTTTATTGAAAAAAGAACAAAGAACAACATTACAAATTAAACAATTGGCAGGAAATAAAAAATATAACAGTTTCCAAAATCACATGAAATATTTTAAATATTATAATTTTATGTTATGTGCTTTCGTGAGCATCACAATATATTTATTATTGCATTTTGCAGCCTATACGCAGACAAAAACATATGTTTCCTACATGTTTCAAAGAACTGCATTAGTTGAGTAACTTTTTTTTCTCTTTTGTTTGGAAATGTGTTCCGCACGGGACGCAACGAAGTTGGGGGAATTGACAAGGTATAAAAGGTTTATTTTTAAAGACTTCCTTTAAAAATAATATTATTCATGCGATTTCAAAATGAAAAAACGTCAACTCAATAATTGTATTCAACATCATTACAAAAAACTAAAAAATTTTCAGAGCAATAGCAACAATAACTTGCTCTCTTTTCCCCAGTTTCGCCCGTGAAGATACTTTTCCAAACATAGCGCACGCTTAAATCTGACAAATATATAAGTAGCAAATATTCTCCACATATCTTTAAATACATAATATTAATATAGTACGTAGATTAAAATATTTTATTTTCGTTTTATTTTTTTTTATTTTATTGTTGTTTGTAAAAGTGTATATAGATGTGTATACGTATAATACCATAAATTTGAATATTTCATATAAAAATGAAACCAAAAATTTAGTAGGTACTGACGTAGAGAAGAAAAAAGGAAAAAAAGAAAGAGAAAAAATATTAATAATAATAGTAGTAATAATAATATAATAAT